TCCCTGCCCTATGGAATGCCTCACGGGACTTGTAGTTTCACCACAGCTGGAGGGCCGAGGTTGACTACCCCTGCATTAAAAGTATCAGGACCAATATGTGCGTGAAGGATATGATCCAGGAGCGGGCTTTCCATTCACTGCAATCCCACAACCTTTAAAACATCTTATTGGTTCAAAATACCAAAAAATCCTATTTTATCCAGCGGTCACATGACCACAAATAGGGACTTCTCATCCCCATATTAAAGAGAGGGGGGGAGGGTTGTAGTTCCATCAGTGAGGAACTATGCGCTTTGTCATCCTTTACTGCAGGGGTGGGCAAACTGCGGCCCTCCAGCTGTGGGTGGAACTACGAATCCCAGGAGGCATTGCAAGATTCTCACAGCCACAGACACGACTCCCAGAGAGAGATGCATCATGGGATTTGTAGTTTCACCACAGCTGGACGGCCGGAGTTTGGCTACCCCCGCTTTACTGCATCCCCTGCTCCTGCAGAGCCAGCAGCCAATCACAGCCTGGGTGTCAGGGGTGTGTGTCAGCCTGTGATGTCACAGGCAGATTAGGTGACATCATGTAGGTCCCATTGAAGAAGAAAGGACACGACCTGACTACTGTACCCTGGACCTGCAATGGAAGCCCCCTTATTCCTCTCATGGCAGAGTCCCTTTAAATCAGGGGTAGCCAAACTCCGAGCCCTCCAGCTGTGGGCGAAACTACAAATCCCAGGAGGCTTTGCAAGATTCTCACAGCCGCAGACATGACTCCCGGAGAGAGATGCATCATGGGATTTGTAGTTCCACCACAGCTGGAGGGCCGGAGTTTGGCTAAATATACCCGTCATGAGAGAAGGGGATGTCCGTGTCTGCTGAGCTCCTTCTGGAAATGCTAGTTGCTTGGCTTTGGTTCCGAGTCACTGACCCAGTCCAGGCATGCAGCAAGTTGGACATACCAGGTCATCATAGGGATCGTCATGACATCCAGGGAATTGGTATCCTCTCCGGCAATGGTTCAGTGGTCTTTGGAGGGCAGTTGAAGGGGGTCACCAGCACACCGAGGTCCACATTATCGATCCGTCCCTCATTGAGATTCAGACAAGCCGGGTGTTAGAGTGCAGCAACGTCTCAGAACCCAATGTGGCCCCTTCATCAGGCCAAACAATGTGACGCAGGACCGGGGACACGATCGAGTGATTTATTGTAGACATGGCAATAGCAGACACAGAGTTCCGTATTGATTGTGAAAAGGCATATGAAGGTCTCTGTGGCTTGAAGTGAACCTGCCGCCATTCAAATATTTACATTCCCATAACAAGCAATAAATATAAACAAGTCCTCACTCACCACCACAGCTGCAAGCACTGAGGAGCAATTCATCCTCAAATCACAAGCACTAAACTCCCTCCATGTCATTCTCTCAGAAGCTCAGCTCCCCCTCCCAGCAGTGACTCAGCAGCTCAGCTCACCCGGCTACCCCAGCCCAGCAGTGAATCGGAATGCCAGCTTATCCAGCTTTCTTCTCCTAGCAGTGACTCAATATGTGATTTTCCTGCTTCCCCCTCCCAGCAGTGACTCGGCAGCTCAGCCTATCCGGCTTCCCCCTCCCAGCAGTGACTCGGCAGCTCAGCCTATCCGGCTTCCCCCTCCCAGCAGTGACTCGGCAGCTCAGCCTATCCAGCTTCCCCCTCCCAGCAGGGAATCAGTATGTCAGGTTATCCGGCTTCCCCCTCCCAGCAGTGACTCGGCAGCTCAGCCTATCCGGCTTCCCCCTCCCAGCAGTGACTCGGCAGCTCAGCCTATCCGGCTTCCCCCTCCCAGCAGTGACTCGGCAGCTCAGCCTATCCGGCTTCCCCCTCCCAGCAGTGACTCGGCAGCTCAGCCTATCCAGCTTCCCCCTCCCAGCAGGGAATCAGTATGTCAGGTTTTCCTGCTTCCCCCTCCCAGCAGTGACTCGGCAGCTCAGCTCACCCTGCTACCCAAGCCAAACTTTTCCTGCTCTCCTCTCCCAGCAGTGACCCGGCAGCTCAGCCTACCGGCTTCCCCCTCCCAAAGCGACTCAGCTCACCCTGCTCCCCCCTCCCAGCAGCGAGTTAGTAGGCCGGCTCACTTAGGGGGACAACGCTTACTCAACATACAGTATCCGAGGAGAAGCGTTGTCACCCGAGGACAGTAAGTGTGTGTTGCAACTACAGAACCTCATTGCTATAATATAGGGGGGGGGTGTTCTGTAGTCCACAGAGGATTGATCATATTTGAGATAACACTGCACAGGTCACAGGACATCACTGGATTTCTGGCAGGATCGATGGGTAGGGTTTTGACAAGCAGATATAACAAAATGCTTTCAATAGTATATTAATATGACATAGAAATCCTTCTAATGGTTTGCATACACCTGGGGGGGGGCATCCAGCTGTGGTGAAACTACAAATCCCATGATGCATCTTTCTCCGGTAGTCCTGTCTGTGGCTGTGAGAATCTTGCAATGCCTCATGGGATTTGTAGTTCCACCCACAGCTGGAGTCTGGCTACCCCTGACCTTGGGGATGTGACCATACAGGGCTACAAACACATTGCAGAGGCTACAATTACACAGCCCCTGTGGAGAGAGACTGCGACCAACGCTAGGGGAGGGGGAAGACACACTGTCCGATGCTGGGGTCACAAAAAATGTCCTCGGCCAAAAAGGGGTCACGAGTGGAGGAAGTTTAAGGCCTGATCTAAGGCCCTGCTGCCTCTGACTGTCATCAGACATGGTGATGTCACCGCTGTGCCGCTCACTGTTCTCCTTGCCGGAGAGGAAGCCGCACCCGAGGACCCGCAGTGCAAGGATCTCCCTGCTGCTGCTTCACATCTTTCCTCCCTGATGAAGGGACCCCGCGCAGCCCCGAAACGTTGGCTTTCCTCCCTGTGACGATTTGTCCAATAAATGGACATATTGATTGATAGTATTGAGTGCTGGTGATTTCTGTCTCTGCACGGCGCCATCCGTAGTCATCACTGCGAGCACCATCTTCTATATAGGCCGGGAGCGTTGGGAGGAGTGCGGGGGAACTTTGCATCTACCTGATTCTGCTTCATTCATTTTTTGGGGGGATCTGTGCTTCCTCCACCAGTTATTGGGGGGAGGGGGGGGGGGCAGCTCTGATGGGAGGAAGCAAAGCCCTGCCTCTACCAAGATGGCCGCCTGCACACAGAGGCCCAGTGCAGAACGAGGCATGGGAAGTCAGAGATGGGAATAGATCGGCTGCAGGGAGACCACAAGCAATACGGGTGACCAGACTTTTGTCATCTTCGTCACATAGTATTTGAGGCTGAATATAGACGCAGGTCCATCGAGTTCAACCTATTGTGTGTATGCGTGTGATTCTGCATGTGTATGTGCGTGTACGAGTCCCTGTGTGATCTTGTTTTTAGGAGTACCTGTACCCAGGGGCCCAACTAGAAATCACAGGGCCCTATAGCAAAATGTTGTATGGGGCCCCGTGATTTCTAGTTATACCCCTTGCAGAGTCCACTCAGGATCCCACCCGAGGGTGAATCTGCAGAGCCCACCATAGACTCTCTATGGTGGGCTCTGCAGGGTCACCCTCAGGTGGGCTGGTCGCACACCTTACCCGTCTGCTTCCTCTTTGTCCGTGGTCGCTGATGGGCCCCGCCTCCTCCTCCGTTGCCAGGCCCGCCTCCTACCCTGCTGCCGACCACAGGCCCCGCCTCCTCCTCCACTGCCGGCTCTCATTGACTCTGTGGAGAGGAACGCTGTGCCACGGGCCCCATAGCGGCCGCCTGGGTCGCTATGGTGATTGTTACGCCACTGCCTGTACCTCATCTGTTCATCTTTTTCGGGACCCCGCTCTCAGGTTCTCTTTCAGTTCCCAAAAATAAACCAGATCTTTTTTTATTGTTTATTTGAAAAGTACATCGATATTACACGTCCCATCAATACTTTGTCATGGAATTCTGATCATAATATATACAGAATATTATTACATTGTATCAAAAGAGTTTATTTTCTGGGGCCTGCGCATCGCATGGGAACGGATTCGGTTCTGGTTCAGACCGTTAAAAAGTCAAACTAAAAGCTCCGATATCACTATAAAGCAGCGGAACCGAAAACAGGGAAAAAAGGAAACTCCATTTACAGATTCCTTTAAGGAATATTCCTTCATAATCGCATTCTATTGTGTCCACAATACAACGATTCAATAAATTACCTTAAATGTAACTATTAGAAGAAGAAAAAACGTACAATGGAGAGATATTTAACATCTCTTTAGTCTTTGCTCATCTGACGTTCTGTTTCCTAAGTCGGACGCCACTTTCTATGTGATCACAGGTGAGCGGGGGCGCCCTTCCCCCCTCCCTATGTATTTTCAGGTGAGTGGGCGGGGGGCGGCCTTCCCCCCTCTCTATGTATTCACAGGTGAGCAGGCAGCATACCCCCTCTCTATGTATTTTCAGGCGAGGGGGGGGTGGCCTTCCCCCCCTCTCTATGTACTCACAGGTGAGCAGGCAGCATTCTCCCTCTCTATGTATTTTCAGGTGAGCAGGCGAGGGGGGGGTGGCATTCCCCCTCTCTATGTATTTTCAAGCGAGCAGGCGAGGGGGGTGGCATTCCCCCCTCTATATGTACTCACAGGTGAGCGGGCGGGAGGGGGGCGGCATTCCAGGTAACCAGAATCTCTGCCTTGGAAAGCAAGAAAACTGTTCTTATAAAGAGGCGCACAGGAAATCTGCAGGCCGGAGGGATACGTAAAGTCTTTCAGGTATACAAAATTCACATCGACTTACTGAAGGGTTACATTCTATAAACCCTTATTTGTAAAGACGGCTATTATGCAGTCGGACCACCAAACACGCCCCCCCCCCGGGAATGCTGGGAAGGGGGGAAGTGATTACAGCAATGAGAGAAGAAAGGAGGGGAAGGGGTTACACTTTGCAAAGAAGTAAGTTTGCAGTCAGAGAGAATGCAGATGGTGAATCTGATGCTGCATATGCCCACACTTTCATTTTCTGAAACGTTTGAAGAGGGGATGTACGTGTTTGCCGGCGGCATTCTTGTTCCGAGTTGTGTGGTACTCCATATAAGCTGCATCGTCTGCTCCGGACATGGAACTCATGGTCCCGAAACGGCGCGCCATCTACAGAAAATGGAAAAGCAAAGTAAAACTGGAGCAGACAAAATCTGGAGCAGTTGCCCGTAGTAACCATTCAGCTTCTCTCTTCAGTTTGCTCAGTGAAGCTTTAAAAATAAAAGACAGAAGCTGATTGGTTGCCGTGGGCAGCTGCTCCAATTGTGATAAATTCCCCTGATTGCGCTCGGTCCTCGCTGGATGAATGAACTTGCTTTACATTATTCAGAGTGCAACAAGAGGAGCGGGAGGAGAGTTCTGGTGCTGATGTTACAAGCCGTTACCACAACTCATGGTCAGGAATACCCGAGAGATAAAACGTAGCACTGAGATTATTATTCTTACATGAGTAGACTTTGATCCAAATTCCCCGGCCACCACTTCCTCCTCCGCGTCCAGATCGGAGGCGGCCAAGACCTTCTGCAGGAGCAGCTGTTGATCTTCCTTGGTGCAGAACGCCAGATCCTCTTCCTCCATCCCGGCCAGCTTGGTGATCACCTAACCGATATGGACATAGCATAAGGAACTGCACCGTATGACATCAACCACCCATTGTTCTGGCCAAGACCATATGGCACAGACACATGAATATCTGTTCCTGTATGTTGGTAGAAGACGCGACAGGAGACAGGAGACGCGACAGGAGACGCGAGACGCGACAGGAGAACAGTAGAAAGGCATCATGGCACACTCACAAACTAGCATGTAAAACAACTTGTCTCACCACTAAGGACAATGACAGAGGTTTGACGCGAGGCGCGACAGAAGACGCGAGACGCGACAGAAGACGCGACAGAAGACGCGA